TATCCGAGTTTACCCTGGCCCCGAAAAATAAGGCCCCTAATTTTGCTAATAATGACAACCGAAGTAAAAAACTACTGATGGTGACAATTCTTTTTTCAAAAGCCATGATAAGTCATAGTGCTTCCAGCATGAAAAAGTGCTTAAGTCCTCAACCTACTGTCACATTTATCATTAAACGATCAGAGGTATGTGTGTATGCGATAGGTATTGGAACTGTTCCCCCACGGATATGGGGGTCCTATTGTTATTACTTAATGAAATACTTGTGAAAAGGGCAAAGACTCATTCGACGACAAGTGATCATGAAGATATAAAAATATGCACTGAACTTTTCTTCTGCTACCTAAAACATCCTCCCCTGATCTTGTACAACAGGTCTTTTTTTTATCATAAAAGATCCGCTTTCCCAAACACCACACACACACCCACCACACACAACACCACACACACACACACACAACACACTTTGTTTGAGAGAATTAAGGAAGCTAGTAATGAAGTCCAAAAAAATTCAATTCCTCTATGACATTTTTTTCATCTTCAAGTAGTATTAGAACTAAATTATTAGAACTAACAGTATATACTAACCTGCACATATTCACCGAGATGTTCATCTCCCGACTGGATAAACACATTTCCTGATGGGTAAAGCAAAAATCCATAAATAAAATAATATTCCTTGACTAGCAAGAATAATAAGTGTATATATACCTCATTGGTGAGCTTAAAGAAAATATGAATTTTTCATACTGCAATAGTTATAAATCATCATAAGGTGCTAATTCTTTTTTTTTTTTTCATTTTGTTAATAGGACGGCAGCATAATGGTCCAGACATATGATAATACAAATACATACCTGAAAACAAGTAACTTGACCTTCCATAAATTTATTGAGATAACTGCAATTAAACAATGTAAAAACTATTTCATGTATTTATTGTAAATTCTCACAAATTTTAGATGCAAGAAAATCCATATCTGGAAACAATGAAAAGTCCATTAATCCAGAATTATTTCATTATGGGCAGCTGGTAGGATTGATTTTTCAGTGCCCATAACACCTTGCCCTTCCAGAATACAAGTGGAACCCTGGTACAAGACTTCACAAACCGTAAATGACCATATAGCTGCCAAATCGGATTTCGGCTGCATTATTTGGCCAAAATTACGTCCTGGATTTCAGCTGGCAACTTGGAAATCAGCTATATAGGACGCATCCTCCCGCCGCCACTTATCCTCCGTTTTTTGTAAGTCGTCTGGCTCTCTAGGTGAGTGAGCAACATTCCACGCATTCAAACATTTCATTATAAATCCATTGTTTTTTTGTGGTTGTTTATTGAGTGCAACTGCAATAATAAGCCACCATGGGCCCAAATAAAGTTCCTAGTGAAAGCCCTTTGGTAAAGAAAGTAGAGACATAATGAAGAATTCAGTGACAAAACCTTGTCCCCCTTCAGGCAAATCTTAAGAGACCAGAAATAGACCTCTCTGGACAGGTTTTTTTTTTTTTGTGCGACAGGGGTGCAGCGACTCAAGCTGGTCCTAGTGCCAGTAAAAAACAAAGAAGGGAAGTAATTCCAGAGAGAGCTTTGATATCTTAAGTACTTATGGAGGGGGATTCCCCTTCCAAACAATAACCCAAACTCCCTTTCCCCTCTTTGCCTTCAATAAAGGTATGTAATGTTCATTTACCATTAAAATTTATGCTTTATATATTTCTCATTGTTTTGTATGTAAAACTATAGTCATCTTTAAACCCCTTTCAGGTCGAGAGGACCTCTCCTAAAACTCGATCTCAGGGTCGAAAATTTTTCTTGGAAAAAACAATTTTTTTTACTATGAAATGATACAGATTTTTTTTTTCCAAATCATAATGACACCAAAAGTATGAACTTGATGCAAAACTTATGGAATTAATGCTCTCGCGAAGTTAGCGGTCTCGACGATGTTTACGCATCGGCGACCGTCGACCACTTTGGAGCCCTATAATTCGGCCACTTCGAATGTACAATTCGACAAAAAACATACATGTTCACTAAAACTCCATTTTTTCTATCAAAATGATTACAAGAATCACCCATTTACCGATTTCAAATATCCAATAAAGTGGTCAAAAAATTGACGAATTTTGTCAATTTCACAACAATTATTTCTGACATGCCAATTTACCAAATAGGGTCCATAATAGCAAGGACAGACATTCCTGGCACTAGAAATAACATTTTCTTCTGGTCATTAGCCACATCCCCAGGCCCCTCTTACACACACATTTGCTGTCCACGTTTGAATTTTATTCTCACAGAAAATGTGACATATACTGTTAATGCAGACTACTGCCATTAGTGTAAAAATGGTTATAAATAATATCAGCGCACACGAGAAGAATATTAGACGTCGCCAGTTGACGTGAATTGGACGCATGGAAAGATTTGTTTACGTTTGAAATTTGGTAAAAATCGAACAATTCTTCTGCTTACTTTGAGTCTCCAATTTCAAGGACTTTTCCTTTATGAAACCCATCAAAATAATCATCTCAATTTCTGTAATATGTCTTCCCATTCTATAAAATGAGACGCAGAAAACTAAATACAACCATAGAATACCATACGAAAAATACCTGCAAAGTCGCTGCATTAAACCCATACAAGGTCGAGTTTTTTTTTTTCTCATTATTCCCCTGTGCTGCAGATTTTTTTTTATACAGTGCACACAGACTCACACAGACTCATTTTTCATATGCAGGCCTACCAAGCCTTTCTCTCGCTAGATTTGAAGGCGCTAGAATTTAGCGTTTCTAGTACGTCAATAAACCCTGGTGTGTAAGCCCGTACTAGTAATAGGAAACCCTGAAAGGGTTAAAAATGTATTTTTTGTTAACATTTTTTGGGTGTCTGGAAGGATTAATGTTTTTTTTTTTTTCAACAAGTCAGTCACCGTCTCCCACCGAGGCAGGGTGACCCAAAAAGAAGAAAATCCCCAAAAAGAAAAATACTTTCATCATCATTCAACACTTTCACCTACACACATTTTCACTGTCTTTTTTGCCAGAGGTGCCAGTATACAACCGTTTAGAAGCATATACGTATAAAGAATACCCAACATATCCCTCCACACTGCCAAATCCCAAACCCCTCCTTTAAAGTGGCAGGCATTGTACATCCCATTTCCAGACTCAGTCCAACTAATTGAAATAATAACCGGTTTCCCTGAATCCCTTCACTAAATATTACCCTGCTCACACTCCAACAGATTTCAGGTCCCAAGTACCATTCTCGCCATTCACTTCCTATCTAACACCTCACGCACCGCTTGCTGAGAAGTCAAAGCCCTCGCCCACAAAACCTCCTTTAAACCCCCTCTCTCCACTCTTTCGAGACGACCCCTACCCCGCCTTCCTCCCCCTAAAGATTTTATATGCTTTCCATGTCATTCTACTTTGATCCATTCTCTCTATATGACCAAACCACCTCAACAACCCCCCTCTTCTTCCCACTGACTTGTAGTTAATTAACTCCACACCTTTCCTTAATTTTTCACACTCCGAAGATTTCTGCATAATATTTATACCAAAACATTGGCCCTTATACAGGACATCTCCACTACCTCCCACCGTCTCCTCGCTGCTGCATTTAACCACCCAAGCTCCACACCATATGTGTTGTACTACTAAACTTTCATACATTCCCTTCTTGCCTCCATAGATACACGCTTTTTTGACTTCCACATTAGACCTCAAACGCACCACTCCGCCTTTTTTATCCCCTGATCATTCTATGATTAACCTCATCCTTCATAAATCCATCTGCTGACATGTCAACTCCCAAGTATCTGAAAACATTCACTTCTTCCATATTCCTCCTACCCAATTTGATATCCAATTTTTCTTTTATCTAAATCATTTGATACCCTCATCACCTTACTCTTTTCTATGTTCACTTTCAACTTTCTAACTTTACACACACTCCCAAACTCATCCACTAACCTTTGCAATTTTTCTTTAGAATCTCCCATAAGCACAGTATCATCAGCAAAAAGTAACTGTCAATTCCCATTTTGTATTTTATTCCCCATAATTTAATCCCACCCCTCTCCCAAACACCCTAGCATTTATTTCTTTTACAACCCCATCTATAAATATATTAAACAACCATGGTGACATTACACATCCCTAAGACCTACTTTTACCGGGAAGTAGTCTCCCTCGCTTCTACACACCCATAGAACAATGGCGCAGACTAAAAGGGTTAATTTTTTTGACGCACATCCGAGAGAAATACCTAAAAGTATTTTTCAATGTTCTGCTTCCTATTTACACAAAGATCCTACAGCAGTCCAGTTTCACAATCGACACAATACAAGCAGCTTGACACCAAAGAATTTCGTCTTGCTTGGCATATACATATACAGTAGGACTGCCATAACCATGGGTCCAGTTTCCATGGTTTCAGTTATCCGAGGTTTACCCTGGCCCAAAAATAACCCCTAATTTTGCTTAATAATGACACCGAAGTACAAAACTACTGATGGTGACAATTCTTCAAAGCCATGAGAAGTCATTAGTGCTTCCCATCAGTGAAAAAGTGCTAATTCTCAACCTACTGTGCATAATTTATCAATTAAACTATCAGAGGTATGTGTGTATGCGATAGGTATTGGAACGTGTCCCCCACGGATATGGGGGTCCTATTGTATATTACTTTAATGATAGTACTTGTGAAAAGGATCAAAGACTCATCGACGACAAGATTCATGAAGATATAAAAATATGCAATGAACTTTTCTTCAGCTACCTAAAAGCATCCCTGATCTTGTACAACAGGTCTTTTTTTTATCATAAAATATCCGATTTCCAAACACACACACACACACACACACTTTGTTTGAGAGAATTATGAAGCTAGTAATGAAGTTCCAAAAAAATTCAATTCCTCTATGAGCATTTTTTCATCTTTCAAGTAGTATTAGAACTAAAATTATTACAACTACAGTATATACTAACCGGCAAATATTCACCGAGATGTTCATCTCCAGACTGGATTAACACATTTCCTGATGGGTAAAGCAAAAATCCATAAATAAAATAATATTCCTAAAGAATAATAATGTGTATAATATACCTCAGTTGGTGATGCATGTAAAGAAAATCATGAATTTTTCATACTGCATAGTTAATAAATCATCATAAGGTTCTAATTCTTTTTTTTTTTTTCATTTTGTTAATAGGAGCGGCAGCATAATGGTCCAAGACATATTGATAATACAAATACATACCTGAAAAAGTAACTTGACTTCCATAAATTTATTGAGATACTAAATTAAACAATGTAAAACTATTTCATGTAGTTATTGTAAATTCTAACAAATTTTAGATGCAAGACAATCCATATCTGGAAACAATGAAAAGTCCATTAATCCAGAATTATTCATTATGGGCAGCTGGGTAGATTGATTTTCAGTGCCCATAACACCTGTGCGCCTTCCAGAATACAGTGGAACCCTGGATACATGACTCACGAAATCGTAATGACCAGATAGCTGCCAAATCGGATTTCGGCTGCATTATTTGGCCAAAATTACGTCCTGGATTTCAGCTGGCAACCTGGAAATCAGCTGTATAGGACGCATCCGCCCGCCACTCCTCCGTGTTTTGTAAGTCGGTCTGGCTCTCTAGGTGAGTGAGCAACATTCCACGCATTCAAACATTTCATTATAAATCCATTGTTTTTTTGTGGTTGTTTATTGAGTGCAACTGCAATAATAAGCCACCATGGGCCCAAATAAAGTTCCTAGTGAAAGCCCTTTGGTAAAAAAAGTAGGAGACATGATAGAATTCAGTGACAAAACCTTGTCCCACTTCAGGCAAATCTTAAGAGACCAGAAATAGACCTCTCTGGACAGTTTTTTTTTTTTTTGTGCGACAGGGGTGCAGCGACTCAAGCTGGTCCTAGTGCCAGTAAAAAACGAAGAAGGGAAGTAATTCCAGAGAGAGCTTTGATATCTAAAGTACTTATGGAGGGGGATTCCCCTTCCAAACAATAACCCAAACTCCCTTTCCCCTCTTTGCCTTCAATAAAGGTATGTAATGTTCATTTACCATTAAAATTTATGCTTTATATATTTCTCATTGTTTTCTGTATGTAAAACTATAGTCAATCTTTAACCCTTTCAGGGTCGAGAGGCCCTCTCCTAAACTCGTTCTCAGGGTCGAAAATTTTTCTGGAAAAAAAAAAATTATTTTTTTCTTATGAAATGATACAGATTTTTTTTCCCAATCATAATGACACCAAAAGTATGAAATTTGATGCAAAACTTATGGAATTATGCTCTCGCGAAGTTAGCGGTCTCGACGATGTTTACGCATCGGCGACGTCGCCCACTTTGAGCCCTATTTTCGGCCAATTTCAATGTACTAGTCGACAAAAAACATCCATTTCACTAAAACTCCATTTTTTTCTATCAAATGAGTACAAGAAATCACCCATTTACCGATTTCAAATATCCAATAAAGTGGTCAAAAATTGACAATTTTGTCAATTTCACACAAATTTCTGAACATGCCAATTTCCAAATAGGGTCCAGAATAAGCAAGACAGACATTCCTGGCACTAAAATAACATTTTCTCTGTTCATTAGCCACATCCCCAGGCCCCTCTTACATCTCATTTGCTGTCCACTTTGAATTTTTATTCTCACAGAAAATAGAAGATTTACTGTTATGCAGACTACTGCATTAGTGTAAAAATGGTATAAATAATATCAGCGCACTCGAGAAAGAATATTAGACTCGCCAGTTGACGTGTATTGGACGCATGGAATGATTTGTTTACGTTTGAAATTTGGTAAAAATCGAACATTTCTGCTACTTTGAGCTCAATTTCAAGGTACTTTTCTTTATGAAACCAATCAAAATCATCTCAATTTCTGTAATATGTCATCCATTCTATAAAATGAGACCAGGAAAACTAGAATACAACCATAAATACCATACGAAAATACACTGCAAAGTCGCTGCTTTAAACCACAAACAAGGTCGGAGTTTTTTTTTTTCTCATTATGCACCGTGTGCTGCAGGATTTTTTTTATACTGTGCACACTGACCACACAGACTCATTCTTTCATATGCAGGCCTACCAGCTTTCTCTCGCTAGATTTGAAGGCGCTAGAATTTAGGCGTTCTAGTACGTCAATAACCCTGGTGTGTAAGCCGTACTAGTAAGTAGGAAACCCTGAAAGGGTTAAAAAATGTATTTTTTGTTAACATTTTTTGGGTGTCTGGAAAGGATTATGTTTTTTTTTTTTTCAAAAAGTCAGCCGTCTCCCACCGAGGCAGGGTGACCCAAAAAAGAAAGAAAATCCCCAAAAAGAAAATACTTTCATCATCATTCAACACTTTCACCACACACATTTTCACTGTTTTTGCAGAGGTGCTCAGAATACAACAGTTTAGAAGCATATACGTATAAAGATACACAACATATCCCTCCACACTGCCAATATCCCAAACCCCTCCTTTAAAGTGCAGGCATTGTACTTCCCATTTCCAGGACTCAAGTCCAACTATATGAAAATAACCGGTTTCCCTGAATCCCTTCACTAAATATTACCCTGCTCACACTCCAACAGATTGTCAGGTCCCAAGTACCATTCGTCGCCATTCACTCCTATCTAACACGCTCACGCACGCTTGCTGGAAGTCAAAGCCCCTCGCCCACAAAACCTCCTTTACCCCCTCTCTCCAACTCTTTCGAGGACGACCCCTACCCCGCCTTCCTCCCCCTATAGATTTATATGCTTTCCATGTCATTCTACTTTGATCCATTCTCTCTATATGACCAAACCACCTCAACAACCCCTCTTCTGCCCTCTGACTTGTAGTTTTATTAACTCCACACCTTTCCTTAATTTTCACACTCCGAATTTTCTGCATAATATTTACACCACACATTGCCCTTAGACAGGACATCTCCACTACCTCCAACCGTCTCCTCGCTGCTGCATTTACCACCCAAGCTTCACACCCATATGTGTTGGTACTACTATACTTTCATACATTCCCTTCTTTGCCTCCATAGATAACGCTTTTTGACTCCACATATACCTCAACGCACCACTCGCCTTTTTTTCCCCTGATCAATTCTATGATTAACCTTATCCTTCATAAATCCATCCGCCAACACGTCAACTCCCAAGTATCTGAAAACATTCACTTCTTCCATACTCCTCCTCCCCAATTTGATATCCAATTTTTCTTTATCTAAATCATTTGATACCCTCATCACCTTACTCTTTTCTATGTTCACTTTCAACTTTCTACCTTTACACACATTCCCAAACTCATCCACTAACCTTTGCAATTTTTCTTTACAATCTCCCATAAGCATAGTATCAGCAAAAAGTAACTGTCAATTCCCATTTTGAATTTGATTCCCCATAATTTAATCCCACCCCTCTCCCGAACACCCTAGCATTTACTTCTTTTACAACCCCAACTATAAATATATTAAACAACCATGGTGACATTACACATCCCTGTCTACGACCTACTTTTACCGGGAAGTAGTCTCCCTCTCTTCTACACACCCTAACCTGAGCCTCACTATCCTCATAAAAACTCTTTACAGCTTTTAGTAACTTACCACCTATTCCATATACTTGCAACATCTGCCACATTGCTCTTCTATCCACTATCATATGCCTTTAATTGTATCTACATTAATTCCTATTGGATTTATTATTATTATAAAGGGGAAGCGCTAAACCCGTAGGATTATACAGCGCCTGGGAGGGATGTGGAAGGCATTCAGGCTTAATTCGGGGAACTGGAGCACAGATCCAATTCCCTAAATCAAGAGCCCCTCACCAACATCAAGGAACCTTCCCTGAGGGGGATTCCTATTGGAAATATTACTACGGTTTTCAGCCTTTCAGATTTCAGCCGACCTTCTGGAACGGTTTACAGCCGAAATCCGGGGTTCCACTGTACTGGAAAATATATACTTATGACAAAATCCTACGATACCAATTGTTTCAAAGCGTAATGCCCACTGAAACACGAAAATAAATCTGACTATTGGGTTATCCTTGGTCAAGTGTGTTTTGTGCCTGAATTTCACTGTTAATGTAAAATTTTAATAAATTTGAAACTAGTCATCTACAAGTAACTTCCACACCATTTACTGGTAGGAAAGCTGATGATGGAACAGCAACTCTTGGTTTCATTGTTGACTTATGCTAGTTAGTCATACTTTTATGTTGGAGTCATCGCCTTTATAGTTAACCATAATGTACTGTGTGGACCATCCTGGCCTTGGATTTATTATTTTTTCTTTCTGGAATGTATGGAGAGACTGCAAAAGATCCAGATCTGTGTTCAGGTCAAAAATATTGGCAAGCAATAGATTTAAAAGAATGAAAAATTGTGCATACTAATATCTTGGTCAAAGTCATCAGTTATGTATTAGAATAGACAGTTTACGACTTGATGCCATTATAATAACTCTGACATCTCCCCTTTTGCTTCCAGAGATAAACTACTTTCTTTCCACAGATGCCTCAACACTACTTACCTTTCTCCTCTTACATATTTTATGGTTCATCTCCTCTTTCATACACCTATCTGATGACCATGTCTGCTCCAAAATGTCCGAATATTCACATCCTCCACATTCCCCCACTACAATCTAGTATCCAACTTTTCATTGCCTATACTTTGTTATATATAACCTCTTTTCTATGTTCCATTTTAATTTCCTTTTATATACAAGTATAAGTTACATAAAAGCCTGTTCAGAAAATTAAGAGAATACTCAGTGTATGTACCTGTGTGTTTCATGTAACTGCAGTGAAAATACTGAATTAGTTTACCTTGGATTACTCTGCATCAAAAAGTTACATACCCAACATTATCGAGAGATTTTTAGAATTATCAGTGTACAGTGGACCCTCGCATACCGTTGGCATCACAAAGTTAAATCCTCACACCGATACATTTTATCACTAAAATATTGCCTCGCATACCGCTAAAAGACTCGCTCGACGCTATTCGTCCG